GCTGCCAGTTTACCATACAGATAGTAGCAGGAGGCGCACACTATCGCTCTTGTTACACTGTCTCTAGTTAATGTGTCGGTATTGTGCCAAAGAACGGTATGACCAATTGGGAACGCGTAAACCACCTTGGCAAAATGGTGTAATCGAGTAGGAGAAGATAAAAAGTAGTTTATGCGACCCAGCAGAAACTTCTGGGACTTGCTATAATGCAAAGAATATCGTGCAGCCAATCAAGTGACATTTTAAATATTGTCATCATTTTTGTTATTACCGTGAACTAATTCCAGTCATAGTTTCTGTCACTAACACATTTCACTGTCTCGAAGGTTCAACACCACATACCTCGACAGTGCGACATGGTATAACTTTAGGAGCGCGTGAAAGGCGGCAAACCCGACAGTCGCTGATTGGTTTAACTTTCACCACGTGACACACAGTACTGATTTTCTGAGTAATATTCTTGGACGACAGGGACAAAGTTGACTCTGTATTTAAACTTATATTGATAGTCATTTTGAAATTACAATATTGTCAAAGTGGAGACAGAAGATCCTACGTAAAGTAATGTTCCGAAAATTTGAGGTTATGTATACTGGTCACTATACTGAATATAAACAGATCGTTACGTGTATAGTTATTATTTAATATTTCCTGCAAATATACGTATAGTCCATTCGCGGAGACGAGACAGCGTAAACAAAGCAGGCCCCGAGTCGCCACAGCTGACAGCAAGGAGTGGACAAATCGCACAGTTACTCAGTGTACTCACTGCATTCAGACTGAAGAGTGAACTTTGGACGCCCCTGCAACGATACACGCATCACGTGATCGCTGCATGATTTCATTCAAAGAGCGAAGGAGACACCGCGTGCATTTGTTTACGAGGACTCTCTCGTCTCCGCGAATGGACTGTAGGTATCTCGAAGGAACATATTACGGCAAAGAATTCACAATAACGCTTCTCGTTCTTCCCTTTCCTAGAACACATGCATAACACCAGAAGAGGAAGACCAAGGTAGCAGGCTCTCCGAAACGGCGGTACATATCTATCACACAACAGCGGGTCACGTTGCTAAAGATCGTAACCTTAAAACCTATACAGTAGTTCCTGTATTTGCGGATCACAGTGGCTGCGCGGTCTAAGGCATGAAATGTCTTTGCCCGCTGGAATGCCAGGATCGTGGGTTCCTATCCCACTTGAGGTATAGATGTCTGTGTGCGTTTATTCTGTTTGTGCTGTCCTGTGTGTAGGTAGCGGCCTTGCGACGGGCCGATCCCCCGTTCAAGGAGTCCTAGCGACTGTGTACAAGATCAAGAAAACGAAAAAGCGGCCAACGTCCAACCAAGGACTGTAGAGTCACAGATAGATAGACATATAGACAGAAGGTTCGTGCATTTAATTAAGCATCACACGCTATCATTCCAATCACTGGACAGAGGTAAGGGGTTAAATTTAAGCCCGGCCTCTTCACCCTCGAGGACAAAGCCCCAAGTACACGTTGCACAAGAAGTTGGGTGGGCACCGGAGCCGGTCCAGTGACTAGGGGAAATAAGTAAGCCCCTGCCGGGTATCGGACCTTTAGCCAGCCACTACACTGACTCACCTACCTTGGTTATACATAAAACGGACGGTGAAAAATATTTCAAAGTACGTTCACAGTAACCGATGCATGTAATTCTAGGTTACAATCGAAGTGACACTTTCCCCTAGCATCGCATAAATGTAGGGAAGAGACGGATACACTTTACTGATTCAGATGATGATGCCATTATGTGACATAATCGCTCTTCACACCAAACCTAATGCTTATATGTGTAGAGAGACCGTGGGGGAATTGCACGTGCAATTACAGTAGGAAACTACCGAAACTCCAAGGGCGTGGTTTGAATTTTTAAATATATCGTCATGTCATTAACGGCCAGAAGTGAAGTTGAAAGCGTTAGGAGGACGTACATGTTGGCTCTCAGGCTGTGTGAATTGAATAATACCAGCGGCATTCATGGCCCGCTGATTTCGATTAAATGCCATTTCTACAACGCTGAATATTTTATATTCTTCAACCATCGTGTTGGCAGCTTAATGCGCTCCTCCAATACTGACCGGGTGACAAGGAACATTTTTTACTCAGGTGTACACGCTTACATACAGAGTGGCCCAAGAGGAAAGGTCTCTACTTTGGGAGGTCATAGTATCGGTCATTCTAAGCAATATATACACGTAGTTACTATAGGATTCTGACGATGGTGTATAACACACAGAGATATTGGGTTTTCGGACTTTATCCATCGTTCTGGCGTTCTGGTTTTAAGATAACTAAGACCAGTGATTGAGGCTAGCTCTTTCTAAGGGACCCAACAGAATAGGTGTTTTCCCTCACCTGAGGACGGAAACAGATCCAGTTTCCGAAACGTCGTGTTTTTCTTAGTTATCTTACAAATCAGGACGATGGATAAAGTCAGAAAACCCAATATCTCTGTGGGAATATATACACGTATATATTCCTGGGGGTAAAAGGCGGTCGGCGCGTAGGGCTGACAATCTTAGTCATTGGAGTTAGTGCAGTAGTAGCTTATTATACAATCTGATAGCAAAACACTTATGGAATATTAACCAGGCACCTTATTGATGCGTTAGGTTATCACGTCCGTTATGTTATGGTCCAACTCTGAACTTGGGGTCTCATTTTCCCGATATAAATGAGATTAAATGGTAAGGGCTGTAAGATTAGACATCATCTCGTATGTATTCAAGGCACGCGCCCACTTTATATCACCTAGCGACACAAACTTATTTAGTAACGGCCAGTGTCATTGGAAAAGTTCACAAAGGTGANCGAGTTCGGCCTCTACCGGCTCAGCGGTATCTATATGCTTCTCCCATCTACCAGAGGCGTTAGAGACTATTGTTGGGCGGGAAATGTCCTTACAAATTTGGCTCAGTGGTCTCCTTGAGACATGAGGTTCTTTTACGTGCCGTAAAGCAACGACACGGGACCCACGGCTTAAAGTTCCTCCCGGAGGAATGTTACACGTAACTACCCGAATAAGTATCGTATTCCCTGGAATTTCCTCCTCTTCCTCATCCTCTTCTTCTTCGTCTTTTTCTTCTATTTCTGCTGTTCATACTTGGAGCACAGGGCATCCGTGAAACACTTCAGTTTTTTAATCTAAGACAAACGGCGGAACTTCTTGGCCGGGGGATCAGCCCGACGAAAGGTCGCTACTTAGCACAAACAAATATCCATGCCTTGAGTGGGATTCGAACCCACGATCAGTGTTCTAGCGGGAGAAGACATTTCATGCCTTAGATCGTGCGGCCATTGTGATCGGTTCCTGGAATATACCAGTAATGCTTCCTTTTTATAACAAGATCCCTTATATGCCTCAGAAAATATAGGTAACGTTTACTTAAGCCCGCGTAAGCGATGTTTATAAAGAACCGAACTGAGTAGAAATCAAAATGGCTCGACAAATTTCAGTATTTCACGGAAATCAGCCAAATAGTTCGGGTCTTGCTTGGTCTACTTATGAACAGACGACGGACATGATGGATATTTTAAACATAAGTTCTTACCACGAAACATTTTAATTTCTCAATGAAACCCTAATGTGACGGAAGAATGGTGACGTATACTAGGAGAGGAGAAGAGAGGAGAGTACCATTAAAGCGTCTATTTAGCATTCACTACCTGAAGGCGCAGAGAAAGGCCAGAGAAACACGTCACGACAGCCGACCTATGGGCAGATATGAACCGGGGCCTCCCGACATCGAAGCAGGAGCGCAACCCCCTTGACCGCGATGTTTTGAATTACCGTGGTGTTGGGTAAAGCTTATTTGAATAAAATATAAAAATACGGCTTCTACTGAAGAGAAAATACATCGCACCTGCATTACAAGTGTCAGATGTTTAGGGAAACAGCTGATATGCACTCTGACTACAAGACGAAGTCCATAAACACGCGGACACTCCAAATACACATCGCGGTACAGCGGCTAGCAGCTCTGATTCCAGACCAGCTATTGCGATTGATATCTTTCGCTGCTTTCTTCAGTCATTCCGTGAAAATGCTGCGGCAGAAGCTCCAAACATTCCAGGTCCGCTTCCTTCATTGTCCTGTCAAGTCAAACACTCAGAATGACCCCACAAATTTAAGCTGCATAATCTAAGAAGCTAAACATGTGCCGTTGTATAACATAATGTAACCGATTTGATCGTTGCCAAGCAATAGCTCTGTAAACAAGGTCCAACATGCTACAATAAAGGAAGTTATGGTTTCCGTGTCAGCGGTAAAGTCATAACAGTGGATAGTGATCATGTGACATGCGTTTTCTGTAGATCCGATCGACGCACCAATAAGCTGGATGAATAGTGATCACGTGATACGTGTTTACTGCAGGCCCATGTCCGTTCCGCGGCTATATAACGAGAGCCGTGAGCTGTGAGTTCAGAGAGAATAGGAACTAGGAGTACAGAAGAAGCAGAAGTCGGCCTGTGATCACTTAACATGTGATTAGATTTTATTTATGTGTAATATTTGCAGTGTGTAATTCAGTGAGACTGTTATAGTTTGTGTTATAGATCTGTGAAGACTAGTGTAGACAGACTGAAAAGATTAGCGTGGAGTGTTTATAAATTGTGTAAAGCAGCAACAGTGTAATAATTAATTGTACTTACGACCTGGTAGGTTGTTAATACATCCAGTTATCAATCCGAACTCCGTCTTTAGTCATTGTGTAACACGTGACAGTAACAACTGTGGGCACTCTGTCGGTTCACTGAATGCTAGAACAGGCGATGAGTGTGGACGGACAGAGCAGGCGTGTGACGCGACAGAAGACGGTGCAGCGAGCGACGTACAGTGAAGTAGAAGTGAACAAGAAAGAACTGACAGCGATATCAGAGACGTCTGCTGACAGGGAGGCAGTAACAGTTCCAGAAAATTATAACGTCGCAGTACTAAACTAGTCACTGCAGTTGAAAGTGGCCAAAATGACTTACCTTAAGAAGAATCACGGAATGTGGATAAACCTGGAGGGATCCAAGAGTGGCGTTGTTATCCACCAGATCTCGTCCATCAATAGACAAATGCTGATCGAAGGGCGCAACGTGGAAAAGTTTCATCACCTGCAACAGTAAGCATTAATGTTTGTGCCTCAGAAATACGAGCAAGAACTTTGAATACCACAGCTCATCTTCGGAAGCGATTCAATCTGCGGCCCGTTCTTACAACCTAAAGTCCTGCACATTTACTTCGTCTTTCTTAAGTATAAATACGTACGTTTCTGAGCACTCTGTTTCCATGTGAGCCGGGATACCGCAGTCGATACAGCTACTGGCTACGAGCTGGACCGAGGGGTCAGAGTTCGAGTCCCGGAAGGATCATGAATTTTCTCTTCTTCATATCGTCCAGACGGGCTCTGGGGTCCACCCAGCCTCCTACCCAATGGGTACCGGGACCTGTTCCCCCGGGGGGGATTAAAGCGGTTGGGGCGTGAAGCCGAGGTCAAGAAAATGTGGATGTATACATCCACTCCCCCTTGCGCCTTCATGGTGTAGTGCTTAATTCGTTAAGCACAAGGACTTTATCTCTGTTTCCATCGAAACTGTGTTTTCCATTCCGAGTAAGAGACCACATTCCACAGCTATTCCGAACAACAGGTAGAATTGCCCTTGGTCCTGTGGAAAGAAGACGAAACTGGAAAATGGGGGATAAAAGTGGTCGATAAGTGACAATCTGAAAAGGGACTAACAACAGGACAGAGACCCTTTTCGTGGAAAAGGGCAACGAAAAAAGAATTACAAGAATTCAGAACTTAGTCTTTACAAGAAAATGTTCACGAGGACAGAAATAAGACTTGGCTTCAACACATCCATCCAACGGAGGACAACGGGCTCCCCATACACATAATGAACTCACGCAAGAGTGGAGCGGACACTGAACGGTGTGACCCAGAAGATCAAAACAGGGCATTTTGTAGTTCAACTTCGCAACGATGTATAATTATGATGATGGTGATGCATGAAGCAATGAAAACACATCTTAAAAGGTAAGAACAGGCCAGCGGCAATCTCGGTCACAAATCTGTCGAGGGTATGAACGGCCTTGAACCATCAGAAGAGTGCGTACTACGTTGTATCTCGTTAGGGGCTTGGAAATCGGTCTGTGTTTCTTCGTGTTGTCTTGTTAAGGTGAAGGCCTTGCGATGTGCCGGTCCCCGGTTGCACGTCCTTAATGCCTGAGGACCACTTTAAGTCGTGGACTAACTCGTTAGGGGCTTAGAAGTTGATTCGTGTTTCTTTCCGCTGTCTTGTGAAGCCAGAGGTCTTAGGGTGGGCTGCTCCCATGTCAGAAGTACTGTGTAGTGTGAAACATAATTATACAGCACACAAATATCTACATTGATCAAAAGAAGCAAAAATGAAGTTAATAGGAAATAAAAAATAAACAAACAAAGGAGTGGTCTCGTGATCAGAGTTCCTGCTTACAGATCCAGAGGTTCTGGGTTCGATTCCCGACGCCACTAGATTTTCTGAGAAATTGTGGGTCTGGAACGGGGTCCACTCAGCCTCGTGAGGATAACCGAGGAATTATCAAGGAAATAGCGGCTCCAGTTGAGATTAACGGCCGTGGGGATCCGTTGCGCTGGACACGTGACACCTTCTATCGGCAAAAGTTGGCACTAACTTCGCCGACAAGCGGCGGTCGCTCGATCGGTATAGTTCGCTTGCGGACTACAGGAATCGGAGTTTTTACGGTGACAAAATGAAGGAATGAATGCAGATAGAAACAAAGAAAAGGCTGTATACGAATAAGAAAAAAGAAAGATTAAACAAATAAATGGAGTGAAACGGACAGAGAGAGAAAGAGAGGAAGAAAGAAGTAACGATAGAAGAAAATGGAGGGGATAGATTATATAAAGAAGGAAAGGACAGGAGGAAAATAAAGCTTGCATCATGACTTACAACCCAATATTCCCTCCGGACAACAAATCCATGTAAGTTCAGTTCAGTTTTGATTTAATTATGAAAGTGGATTAACTTTGGTCGTTATCTAGCAACGTCTTTTAAACACAAGGGCGAAGCAGTACAGAAGGAAATTATATAGTACGACGGCAGTCCTATCCCATTCCACTTATCACTATCAGTTCTCATACATTCGTGTAGATGCCCATTTGTTAGAAGTTGACCACGCCACTTTGATTTTCCGGGTTTACAAGCTCAAGTGCCAGTGGTGGGTGGAGAGGGGGCACGTACATTTAAAGTGATTAGCCCTTAAGGCACACAACTCAGATTAAATCAGAACCCACCCTTAAAGCTGAACAAAAAAAAAAGGCATATGCTACAAAAACAGTGTTACGTTTCTGCATGTCCAGTTCAGAGAAATGACTTGTGACATATTACCCCACGAACCACCCTTACAAACTCTTCTGGTTCTCCTCTCCTTCATATCCATAATTTGCTGCATCCCCCACCCCCTTCGCGGCAACGGACTTAAGAGGAAAACACTATGATTAACAACGGAACATTAGTTTAAAATCTCCAAAGGCCAACACTGGACATTTTAGACACCAGGGCTCCACTACTGCCTCGGGGCACAGAAGGAGAAACGCGTTTCAAGGAAAAGGGGAATAACTCGTTTCTTGTCTTATTCATCGGCGCTTAGTCAACTATATACCTCCTATGTTATTTGGCGCACGGACTGAGAATGGTTATTTTGAAAAAGTAAAACGAAATGTCCGTCTTCGCCATCTCGAACACTAGAATCATGGGTTCGAATCCCACCCATAGGCGTGTTTCTTTATTCTGTTTGTGTTGTTCTGCGTAGGTAGCGACCTTGCGAAGGGCTGATCCCCCGTCCAAGGAATCCTACCGACTGTCTTAGGGGTAAGAAACTGAAGTGAGACAAAGCGTTTCACTGATTCCCCATGCTCCAAAGCGTGTTTATTCTGTGTTGATCTGCGTAGGTAGCGGCCTTGCGTAACAGGCCGTAGAGGTCCATAGGGTTTTGAGACGTCGAGGCTCCCATAGTTTCTAGACAGTTGGCCCACATATGGCGGTGAACTTGTCGGCCTTAAGCGCCGGCCGCCCTTTACACCACAGGAAGATAGCTGGTACTGATTTCTGTTAGGCGCTGAGTTGACCCCAGGGCTATATTGAGGCTGGAAAGATTAGGTAAATTAAAAAAAAATCAAATGACATCGGGAATCGAACCCGGGACTTTCCGGTTTGTAGAATAATGCGCCAACCAACTATGCTACCGCGTTCCCCCTCCCCCCAAAAAAATATTGGAGATAAAATTTCCGCCTGCATCATATTTCCACAAGAGTTTCGTTTAAATCAATCACAGACGCGATGGGGATACTTGAACACTATGGACGTATTATACAGACGAAAAAGAGTCGACCTTTGGGCCAATTTTTAAAGTTGATTATGATGTAACGAACTACATAGAGCACGGTCTTCTTTCGTGAGAAGTTAATAGTTTCTCGGCTTCTCAATGAATTCGTGTATTAATTTTACTCTGTTGAGTTACCTCACACTGAATTTTTCAAGTCTACTTTAATGAGATCCCCCCATCTACACCTAGGTCTCTCAAATGTTCTCCTTAGACTTTACCGACCACAACTGTGTATGCATTTTTCATCTTATCCATATGTGCTACATATACAGCCCATGCAATCCTCCTGGACATATTCACCCTCACAGAGTTTGGCGAAAAGTATTCTGACACCCATCACTACATAATTTTCGCTTTGCTCGTGTCGCTAAGGTCCAGATATTCTTGTCAGTAAGTTCACAAAAAAAAAAAAACAAAAACAAAAAACAACTCCGTGGTCAGTAGCCCGCAAGCGAACAATACCGACCGAGCCACCGCCGCTTGCCGGTGAAGTTACTGCCAACTTTTGCGTATAGAGGGTGTCACGTGGTCAGCGCAACGGATCCCCATGGTCGTTAATCTCGGGTTTCTAGAACAGAGCCGCTATTTCCTTGAAAGAGCTCCTCAGTTATCCTCACGAGGCTGAGTGGACGTCGTAACAGACCCACTATCTCTCCGAAAATCTGGTAGCGCCGGGAATCGAGCCCGGGACCTCTGGATCTCTAGCCAGAAACTCTGACCACTACACCACAGAGGCGGTCCGTCAGTAGGTTCACAGTTTTCTTAAACACAATCAACCAATATTCTTCTTTCAGAATAGAAAAAAGTTTCACATGAATTCAGACAACATACAGGCCTACTTACACCTGCTGCGGTAACACAGGATCATATGCCAAAAAGCGGTGGGAAATGTTGAACTGCTCATTGGCGCAGCGAATGCCACTTAGGTCATTTATAAACTGAAGTTTAAGGCGATGAAGGGGGAGGCCAGTGGATAGGACAGGAGGCGTTTCGGCTTGAATTTTTAAGATGTGGCGAGAACTACAGTTAGAGGAAGTTACTCGAAGGGGTTAGGGACTTCCGATGGTAGGTGAGCATTAAATCATCCGTTAAAAGGGCGATGGAGGGACACAAGGCATTAAACGGGTTCTTGGGAGTTAGTTCAATTTGACTGAGAGGACGAGATTAAACACATTCTGTTCTGGTATAATGAAATACTGCGCTAGTCTTTTGCTGTTCAACCTATCCTATGTGGCGGCACGCGATATCCCGCAACAGACATAACAGTTGCAGAAACAGAAACCTTCAACTGGCTACGCCATGAAGGCGTATTTGAGAGTGGATGTTTAGTTGGAGGTAACTGGTCAGCTTCAGGCCTCGACGGCTTTACCCCCGGGGAAAGAATCCCGGTACCCAATGGATAAGAGGCTGGATGGGCCCCAGGACTGGGCTGAACCACACTATGTAGTGAAGGAAAATTCTTGCTCCTACGGTGACTCAAACTTCGACCCCTCAGCCTTCCAGCCCTTAGCCGGTTGCTATACCGACTGAGCTATTCCGGCTCCCGAATATTTCAGATACGAGGAATAAATGGCAAAAAAAAAAAAACTAATATTTTAGACGGCGATATTGACAAATCCCAGTGGGCAACAGTTTTAGTGGAATATGAAAAAAAGAGATGCGGCAGGAATTTAACAAAGAAACCACGGTACGGACCGATCAGTTAATAAAATACGGTGGCACAAGATACAAATGTCATTATTACACTATGTGAATTATTGTTAAGTGGGGGGGGGGAGTCAACGCATCTGACTTCAGATGCCCCTCCACAACGGCCGATTAAGCCGATTTACTCCAAAGCCATCTGTCCCAAATCTTCAGCTGTCCGAGTTCCAAGCTTTATTTCGTCTATTTTTATGAGTTATTTGCATAAAATGATGCCTGAAAATGGTCGAGCTCGAGATGGATGGTCAGCTTCACGATTCGGCCGCTTTATTCCCAGGAAAAGGGCCAAGATAACTCGTTCGATGGGAGCTCATGGTCGCTATGGACATCAGGGCGAAGGGAAGATTACTTCACTGTGCCAGGAACCGAACCACGATTGTCAAGCTCGTAACAAGTCACATTTTTTTTATTGCTAGTGGGGTGGGACTAAGTCCCTTGTACTGCGGCCACTTCTGGCCTATTGTACCAGCCCCAGATGATAGGTGAGGGTGATTGTGGAGCAATTGGTGGAATGAAGATTGGCAGGGGAAAACGAAGTACTAGGAGAAAACCTGCCCTAGCGCCGCTTTGTCCACCAGAAATCCCACTTGGCCAGACCCCGGAATCGAACCCGGGTCGCCGCGGTGGGAAGCCAGCGGCTAACCGCTTGAGCTATGGCGCGGCCCTGACAAGTCACCTTACCCAAGCCCGACTGTAGTCCTCTGGGTTGTGACACCGAGTATTCTTGTACGTTGATATCAATGTTTCGGAGTGACATGCTGTCAGGACTTAACGCTTGCGTTAACGGTTTTCCTTACCCAGACGGATTTAGCATCCTACTGGCCAATATTAACATTATCTGCGTTAAGAGAGTGGCAAAGCGAATAAAGAAGAATATACAGAAAGTACTTTTGAGGCATAAGCACTAAAGGAGGCCGCACACCATCAAGACAAGCATCAAGACATGAGACAAAAGACGCAGTCTTGTTTCATTCGTGATTCGTCAGCATGAAGACCGGTGTGCGGCGGTTTTCATAATCTCATTCGTTTCAACTGTGCTCCTTTCTTTGCGTCATGTCGCAGACATCGGGTCTTGACTGTTACATGTGTTGACGCATGCCGGTATGCGGCCTACCTAACAGTTCAAGGAGCATATGGAGTGGATCAATTCAAGGGTCTTCTTTCTGTAGCCTTAGCATAGACTGTGAAGAAAGCAGTCTTCTGTGATGCGGCACCGTGCAGCTATTGTGTTAACCGACGTTTCGGAGGAACGTATCGCCTCCATCTTCAGGATAGAAGACAAGAAGAAATCCGCGAGCGAACCAGCGAGAGCAGGTGCAACATAGTCACCGCCGTGAAAACCTCAAATCTTACTTGGTATTGACTGCTACGAGAAACAAACTGCACGAAATGTTCTTTGGTTGAGATCTGAGGCCAGCCGCTAGGAGGCCAAAATTTCATAGCTACCTGCTCAGCTTGTGTTTATGTCTAGTCAATAATTATTCCAAACAGAGTACAGTAAGATTTTCAGTTACTAAATACGTAGTTTATGTTCAAAATTACTACTTACATACAATTCTCATTCGCTGTGATTATTATTGTTTTCATTACGCAACGACCGGATATTCCTCGAGATCTATAACTTCAATTATTTTGTATAAATTCGTGAATCTTTTTCGATGTTAATATCATATAAAGGTGATATTCTTATAGAGGTACCATAAATAAACTTATATAAACGTGACAGTAGGTCTAATAATTACATACGTGGGCTATTATTTGTACTGTACAGTGGCAGATAGGGTACTGGTTCTTGGAAAACCCACCACAGATTCAGCGATCCGTGAATCAGGGAAGGTTCTCGAATAATAACATTGAACTGACCCAGCAAAGCGCTGCTCGAATGTTACAAGCTTTGCTTGTGTAAGCAAGTGTAAGCAATGGCAGTAGGTGACTGAAGGCCGAAGACTGAATATTTTACACGCGATAAAGGGGATGGAATTATGGTAAAATCCAATATGCAACGCGTTTCAGCTCGCAAACAAGCCAAAACACTGGAACTACCGTTATAAGGAAAGCTGAATTAATAATGACTGACCTTTCGGCTGAGATGGGATTAAGGGTTTAAGCAGAGTCTAATATCTTCTTACTAGCCTTACTGATGAAGTTAGTGTAAAATAATTATATGTTAAGCAGGAACGTAAGAACCGAATTCTGAACGGAATCAACAGGTATAAAATGGGGCTCACTTTTTGGGAGAAATATTAAACATATAAAAAAGTAAAGCTATCCCTGTAACAGGCCATGAAGGGCCGTAGGGTTGTGAGACGTTGAGGGTCCCACATTATCTAGACAGTCGGCTCAAAGATGGCGGTAAGGTTGTCAGCCTTTAGCGCCGGCCGCGCTTTACTCCCTAGGAAAATTATATAACGCGGTAGCGTAGTTGGTTGAGGCACTATGCTACAAGCGGGATGGTTGCGGGTTCAAGTCCCGATGAGGACACTGGGTGTTTTTCAATTGACCTAATCCTTCCAGCCGCACTATGACCCTGGGGTCGACTCAGCCTCTAACAGATATGAGTACTAGGAATTAATTAATACTAAACATATAATCTCCAAAATACTGCATATTATTATTATGGGGGCGCACGGTAGCGTAGTTAGTTGAGACACTAAGCTACAGTAGAAAGGTCGAGTCCAGATGAGGTGGATCTTTTAATTGATTTAACCCTTCCAGCCGCACTATGTCCCTGGGGTCGACTCAGCCTTTAACATACATGAGTACCAGGAAGATCCCTAGAGGGGTAAAGGACGGCCGGCGTCTAAGGCTTACCTCACCACCAATTATGAGCCGAATGTCTAGGGAAAATATGGGAGCCTCGACGTCTCACAACCCTATGGGCCTCCACGGCCTGTTACAGGGATAGATTTATTATTATTATTATATTTTCAGTGCTCGCCTGTTATAGGCCATTCGCTGTTGGCAAGCATTTAAATAAAGGAACTTAATGGAACTATAGCTGTGACTGGGTAGCCAAGGTTCCATTCCCACAACGGACAAAAATTTCTTCTTTCCAAACCTGACTCTGGGGCAACCCAGCATCCTATGCAGCACAATTTATGGCTTATTCTCAGGGGGAAACGTAGCCAAAGCACAAAGCCGATTGCCAGTGTCCAAGTGCAGATTTCGGGGAGCTTCATTCGCACGATGTTTAGGCAAACGGTCTCGCTTGTGAGAAGGTGAATCTGAAGAAGACGGTGAAGCTATCGTTAACACAGTTACGGACTCTTGTTGCGCAGCCAATTCCTTTCACTTGGTTATATGCGGATAAGAAGACAATATTAAAATGGACTCCACAGAAACGATCTGTGAAGATGTGAACTGAATTGAATTAGGACAGCCTCCAATTCCAGAGCTCGTACGTTGGGGTGCTGCTTCTTATCTTACAGAGCAACGAAGTACCGTATAATATTTCAGCAGACTTATACATTATGCACGATAGGGTAATAATAACTTACCATCACCTTGAGTTCCAGCAAGGTGAGTTTCGAAGAGACGCTGAGCTGCTTCTCTCCACGCATGCGCCGATGACGCGTACTCTTGCGTACCCTCGTATCTCCAGCAGAGGCCGATACTCCAGAAGTCGAGGAACTGCAGGACGGAACTGCGAGTTTTTGCCGTTTCGCAGTACATCCCTAAAAAAAGATGGATCACTTAAGGTTTTCAGGTAATGCTTGTTTTAGGTATGTAAAAGTAGAGTAAAGGTATCCCTGTAACAGGCCGTGGAGGCCCATAGGGTTGTGAGATGTCGAGGTTCCCACATTTTCTAGACAATCGGCTCATAGATGGCGGTAAGGTTGTCAGCCTTACGCGCCGACCGCCCTTTAACCCCAAGAACATTCCTGGTACTCATTTCTATTAGAGGCTGAGTCGACCCAAGGGCCATAGTGCGCCTGGAAGGATTAGGTAAATTGAAAAAAAAATCCAATGACCTCATCAGAATTCGATCCCGCGACCTTCAGACTTGTAGCATAGTGCCTCAACCAACTACGCTACCGCGTGCCCCCTGTTCAAGTACGCGGAATTTCTTTATATAACGCCCCTCGCTTAATCTTTAGGACTTTTTAAGAAGGAAGTATCTTCTGTGAAACCTTAATTCTGAGCTAGAGTTTAGAATCAGTTTGAGCTTCGTGCCGCTAGAGGGCAACACATATTTATGACTTATAACTCCCTGCCATCAAAAACACAAATATGGCAACAGTATGGACTTCTGACGCGGGTACAATACAAGCGCAATTCATAGTGGCTTCCTGAAGTTCCATCTTTACTAAGCTGAGCTGGGTCGCTCTAAATACTGCATGGAACAATCGGAGTTCCCAATCATTCATTCAGACAATCATCCTACAATTCGGTTCTACAAAAGTACGCAATTGAAAAAGACTCATTAAATAGTCCAAGAATTATTATATACAATGTATCATTCTTCCAAACACAAAAAAATGCGAGTAAACATTTAGGTCCCGAGCAGAATTCGAAGCTGCGATCACATTTTCTAGCGGTCCCGTGGCCTTTAGTCCGCAAACAAGCTATACCGACCGAGCGACCGCCGCTTGTCGGCGGTGCCAACTTTTGCGGATAGAGGGTGTCGCGTGGTCAGCGCAACGGATTCCTACGGCCGTTAATCTCGGTTTTCTAGACTGAAGCCGCTACTTTTCCATTGAAGTAGCTCCTCAATTGTCCTCACGAAGCTGAGTGTACCCTGTACCAGACCCACTACTTCTCAGAAAATCTGGTAGCACCGGGAATCGAACCCGGAACCTCTCGATCTGTAGCCAGGAATTCTGACCACTAGACCACAGAGGCGGTTGTACAATCGGTAAATAATCGGAAAGAAAAGGTAAAGGTATCCCTGTAACAGGCCATGGAGGCCCATAGGGTTGTGAGATGTCGAGGCTCCCACATTTTCTAGACAGTCGGCTCATACATGGCGGTGATGTTGTCAGCCTTACGCGCCGGCCGTTCTTTAACCCCAGGAAGATTCCTCATCTCATTTCTGTTAGAGGCTGAGTCGAACCCAAGTCCATAGTGCGACTGGAAGGATTAGCCAAATTGAAAAATTCAGTGACCGCGTTGGGAATTGAACCCGCGACCTTCCGCTTTGTAGAATAGTGCCTCAACCAAATACGCTTCCGCGTGCCCCCGTGGAAATTTGAAGTATGAAGAGCAACTGGGAAAGTGGAAAATGGTGAAAAAAAATAAAATAATAAAACGGAAAAATCAGATATCCCTAAGAAGAGTTCTCCAGACTCATTTCAGAGTGTTCTGTACTCCACCTACTAGACATCCTCAACATTCAACTTCTATTCCCTATATCCTATCAACACCCTTACTTGGCGCCCTGGAGCTTCCCACTCCACCCCTAACATCCCTTTCTTAGGGTCGGATTCTATAGGACTCAGGTCACCAAGAATAACACATGAATGTTCAGAACAGCTGCGGATGTCCACACAGTGTCGGTAAATAACACATAAACCAACAGAAAGGAGTAATACAACCTACTGCACCGCATGAAATAATACAGTGTTTTGTCCTATTGATTAGGGGTAAAATGTAAAGGTGTCCCTGTACTTAACTAATTAAGACCTATGCCACGAAGTCGTATGGGGGAGTTGATGTATAGATACACATATTCTTGACCTAGGCACTAATTGGAGGTGAGTGGTCAGCTTCACGCCCCGGCCGCTTTACTTCCGGTACCCATTGGATAGGAGGCTGGGTGGGCCAAGAGCCGGTCTGGACGACGTGGAGAACAGAAAATTCTTGACCCTACCAGGACTCCAACTCTGACCCCTCTGTCGTCCAGCCCGTATCCAGTCGCTATACCGACTCAAAATGATTAGGGGTAGGAGACGAAACTGTTTGTAATATACGCCCAGAAATGCTCCGTTAGGGAAGTAAAATTATATCAGTTTCCAACTATATTTCGACATGCGGGCTGAAAACTTGAACAGTTTAATAAGAAACGTCATCTATTGCTGCCATGTTAGGGTGGGTCCCTTGTCACCACGGCATGGCGCGTCCTCAGCTTGCGGATGAAGAAGACGGCCTCGAGATACGAAGAACAGCTAAGAATATACTCAGTAAGCAGTCCCGGACAGTCCACAAGGAGTGGTCTTCCAGCTTGGGTTTTGGGTGTGGGGCTAAAAACTACTGACCTTATACAATAAGCTTATTACGATATGTCACAAAGCTCCTCGGATTTGGACAGATTCTTTGGATAAACAAGTTAAGCGAAGAAAACTGGACATGAGATTTGGTACGTGAAATGTATGAAGTCTATATAAGGCAGGTTAGCTCATGACAATTGCGAAAGAAATATCAGAATATATACTCCGTGGCCTGTAGTCCGCAAGCAAACTATACTGACCGAGCGACCACAGCTTGTCGGCGAAGTTAGTGCCAACTTTAGCGGATAGAGGGTGCTGCGTGGTCAGCGCAACGAATCCCCAAGGCCGTCAATTTCTGTTTTCAACACCGGAGTTTCTATTTCCTTGAAATAGCTCCTCTATTATCTTTATGAGGCTGAGTGAACCCCGTTCCAGACTCATTACTTCTCGGAAAATCTGGTAGCGCCGGGAATCGAACCCGGACCTCTGGATCTGTAGACAGATATTACACCGCCTCTGTAGACCACAGAGGCGGTGTAATATAAAAATATAAGTTAGATTTAGTGGGAGTATAGGAGGTCAGGTGGGACAGGGGAATGAGAATCCTGAATTAGGTACATGTTTTTTTATTTTTTCGTATATAAGAGAATCACATCAGCAGTTAGGAGGACACAGTTTGTCAGTGATAGGATAGAGGGTGCAGAGATTCAACCGATCGACGGACCAAGCTCAGTTTCGGCGGCGGTCAATCTTACGACCGTTCACGTGACTAATCTGCCGCTGCAACATAAGATAAGTAAAACAGGGATGATCTGTTTCCAAAGCCTGTACTGACAGAGGACTTGCGCACAGTACAAAAGAAAGACTTTTCAATAACATGTTACATGTGCGATATGTGAATTTGACAAAGGCCAAGCATATTCATAAGAGACAGCCCCATCTTCTCATCAGAGAGGATATTACATAAGGACTGTAACATAAAGGATTCAGTTGCAAAACGAATCACGTTGTCAGCCTCAAGGGGCTTGGGGCCCAGACGAATTGATTGACGATAAATCGCCAGTCGTAAAGCGACTCTCACTCTGACTCAGTTTCCGAGTGGTGGTAACCTGCTGCACGAGCCTGCATTGACAGAAAACCTCTGTATGTATAGTCTAAATGTTACTTAGAATAGTGCAGTGACAAAGAGCGCAGAGTCCATAGCGACATGGAAGCCGTGACAGCGCGGATATCCTGAAATCTACGGTGCAACAAATGTAGCGCCTACACAGAAAGACCGACCTCTCCCCTCGTCGAAGAGGATCCTCATTTCTCAATCACGGACATGTCTAGGACAAAAACAGAATCTTGTTCAAAAGTCTAGAATGATTATGCTGATGAGGACCAGCAGCAATCTAACCGACAGTCGACCAGAGTGAGAGCCGGGGATAGCCAGTGAATGGACAGTGGTGGCTCAGCAAATGTACTCGTAAAAACATTTGGAGCCATGGGTTATGTGCGAGATAGTCCCCAAGAGGGCACTATTAGGAGCTGTTACCAGGCAACCACTAGGGCAGAGGAACTGAGAAGACTTAGTGCGTGTTATAGTGAGTTATAAAGTGAGCGAATTAGCGATAGCCCCAAAATTCTTTGTAGTCACGAGTTGTAAGAATTCAATATATCCAATTATCAATTCAAACCCCGTGTCTAGTCATTAAAATCGTGTAAATATTTTGTATGTACTTTTCAGTTATTCAACGTGTGCTCCACGGCCGATCCGTTTCTTGATTTATGAGCAAATATTATATTTTTGGACATCATCCATCGTTGTCTTTATCTAAAAACACCGCCCTGTTTATTTTTCAAAGCACAACGTTTCGGAGACTGGATTCTATTTCTGGAGGTAGGGACGAGCTGGTCTAGAAAACCGAGATTAACGGCCGTGGGAATCCGCTGCGCTGACCACGTGACACCCTCTATCTGCAAAAAGTTATCACTAACTTCGCCGACAAGCGAAAATTAAAAATCCAATCATCATTTGTATATAAAATTATCGAAATGATTGGAAACGATAATAAAATTAACACAGGCCTATAACAAAACATTACAACATAAGTGACCAGGGAGAAGAGACATTTACGATGTTCGTGAAGAGATTGCATAGCTAACAGGATGATAATGACTAGGTTCGGTTAGTGGACTATGTCAATGTTAGGCCACACAGAGCGCTACGTACGCTATGTACGCTATACGAACAGAAAAATATCTCCCTTTATTGCCAATGTGACTGGCCACACAGACTTCCGTACGCTACGCACGCTATGTTCCCTATGTTACCAGCGTCGCAGAGTGTACACAGCGTACGTAGCGAACATAGCGTAGCGCTGTGTGGCGGAACGTTTACGCAGCCGTCAGTACGTATAATACATAGTGTCGAGTAGTACATTGCGTTCAGTTAAGGAAGAAACTTCGCAACACCGCTGATCCGGCACAACATTCCTCACAGATTGCTACTGTAACTGTTGATAGCAGAATGAGTCATTAGCGCT